ATATATACAAGCAAACATAAACAATCATCCACCCTCAAACATCATCAACAATCATCAACCCACGAACAAACGTACTTAAGCAAACATACACAATCCACACACATACACAATCCATCACATTCACAATCATCCACACACATAAAATCAACATACACAAGCATCCACCCACATACAAGCAACCATTCATTCACACACATACAAGCAAACATACACAATTATCCACACATACAAGCACACATACACATTCATCCATGCACATACAAGCAAACATACAGAATCTTCCACACACATACAAGCAAACATACACAATTATCCATACACATACAAGGAAACATACACATCCATGCACATATAAGCACACATACACAATCCAAACACGTACAAACAAACATACACAATTATCCACACACATACAAGCAAACATACACATTCATCCATGCATATACGAGCAAACATACACAATCATTCACACACATACAAGTAAACATACACATTCATCAATGCACATACAAGCAAACATACACAATAACCCGCACACATACAAGCAAACATACACATTCATCCATGCACATACAAGCAAACATACACAATCACCCACACACATACAAGCAAATATACATGCAGTCATACACCCCGTTTCTTCCCACAAAGAATTATGTGAATTTAGCATAGGATATTGCTCCACTACGAAAGGTGTGCAACACAGACAAGAGCAGATAAGAAATTGTTATTTGCAACGTAGAATGATAACCATAATAATATCAACTGTTGATAAAATGGGAGTACACAGGACGGATATCGACTAACATGAACTGGCACTAATATTTGCTATTTGCAATCACTTGTTTCCCTTTGGAGTGCCAGTAGGGATACTAGGCCATCTCTTTAGCCGTTATATATCATATGCGATGAATATTGATTGAAACATATTTAGAAGCAGTACAAAACAGAGAGCAAATCCTTCTTGGCTTTTTTTTCTTTTCTTTTTACCTAGAATTAAAGGGAGATGCTCACTAAAGCACGATATCGTGTAAAAAGCAAAGATTATAGGATAACGCCCACGATCCACGCTTTTGTTCCCATCCAGTCCTCACACGTACTTGTCCTTCTGTGGCTTAAGACTGGTATGTGTTTCTTTGAGTCACTGCTTCAACAGTGATTAAAGGAAAAAAATATATATATATTTAATATATATATATATATGTATGTATTTATATACATATATACCTATATAAGCGTGTGTGTATGCAAATATACAGATTGTCTGTGTATATGTATATATATATATATGTATGTATTTATATACATATATACCTATATAAGCGTGTGTGTATGCAAATATACAGATTGTCTGTGTATATGTATATATATATATATATGTATGTATTTATATACATATATACCTATATAAGCGTGTGTGTATGCAAATATACAGATTGTCTGTGTATATGTATATATATATATATGTATGTATTTATATACATATATACCTATATAAGCGTGTGTGTATGCAAATATACAGATTGTCTGTGTATATGTATATATATATATATGTATGTATTTATATACATATATACCTATATAAGCGTGTGTGTATGCAAATATACAGATTGTCTGTGTATATGTATATATATATATATTATATATATATATATGTATGTATTTATATACATATATACCTATATAAGCGTGTGTGTATGCAAATATACAGATTGTCTGTGTATATGTATATATATATATATTATATATATATATATTATATATATATATATATGTATGTATTTATATACATATATACCTATATAAGCGTGTGTGTATGCAAATATACAGATTGTCTGTGTATATGTATATATATATATATATATATATATATATATATATATATGCATTTATATAAGTTATTTGTATGTATATGTATATATATATACATATATACCTATATAAGCGTGTGTGTATGCAAATATACAGATTGTCTGTGTATATGTATATATATATATATTATATATATATATATGTATGTATTTATATACATATATACCTATATAAGCGTGTGTGTATGCAAATATACAGATTGTCTGTGTATATGTATATATATATATATGTATGTATTTATATACATATATACCTATATAAGCGTGTGTGTATGCAAATATACAGATTGTCTGTGTATATGTATATATATATATATATGTATGTATTTATATACATATATACCTATATAAGCGTGTGTGTATGCAAATATACAGATTGTCTGTGTATATGTATATATATATATATGTATGTATTTATATACATATATACCTATATAAGCGTGTGTGTATGCAAATATACAGATTGTCTGTGTATATGTATATATATATATATATATATATGTATGTATTTATATACATATATACCTATATAAGCGTGTGTGTATGCAAATATACAGATTGTCTGTGTATATGTATATATATATATACATATATACCTATATAAGCGTGTGTGTATGCAAATATACAGATTGTCTGTGTATATGTATATATATATATATGTATGTATTTATATACATATATACCTATATAAGCGTGTGTGTATGCAAATATACAGATTGTCTGTGTATATATATATATATATATATATATATATATATATGTATGTATTTATATACATATATACAAACATGTATTATATATCTTTGTGTGCATACATATCTACAAATCATTTTGTGCATCATCTTACAATTTACCAACAACGGTTATATAACCATAGACATATTTTCCCACGGACGATCCTCTCGCCTCCTTTCAGCCCAGACCGTCTAGCAGAGGACTCCCAGCTTCCGTCACGACCTTCATGGAAGAACAAAAAGTGGGGGTGGAGCGCAAGCATGACCTTGTCGTATCGGTGAGTATATAAAGAAGCAGCTGCGGCGTTGTCCTCATTCTCTAGTAGTCGTTCACTTATTCAACATTTCCGAATATAAAATGAATCTCGTATTTGTAAGCATCTCTTGGAAACAGGCTTATAAAGTGTAGCATATGCAGATATGTCTCAAAAGTGCTGTGAGACTTCAGTGCTAAGTATGAATTGTATTTTTGCATTTTCAATATAGCTCCTCTGCATATATTTCAGCTGGTGTTGTCCTGCCTGATGGCCACCGTGGCCGCCGCCCCTCAGTTCACTCGACCCAACCTTCCGGATCAACCTTTCGTCGCCATCCTGGGGGACGACCGACAGGATCTGGGCGACGGAGCCTTCAGCTACGTCTTCGAAGCCGCCAACGGAATCGGCGAGTCCCGCGTGGGTAACCCCGGATCCAAGGGCCAGACCAACATGCAGGGATCCTACAGGTAAGACGTGTGTGTTTTTTTTTTGGTTTTGTTTTTTAATCTAATGTTCATCGAAATATCAAATTTGCAAATGTCTAATCGGCCTGTTGTCCTGTTATTTCCATTATTCATTTCTTTCCCATAGGTTCCCCCTCGACGACGGCACCTTCGCTGAGGTTCGCTTTGTCTCCGACGAGTTCGGATTCCGCGCCGAGTCCCCCCTCATCCCCACCCCACACCCCCTCCCCGCCCACGCCGTCGAACAGATTCGCGTCGCCGAGGAGCAGCGACGTCGTGGAATTCAGTTTTGAGAAGGCCACTACAAATAATGAATTATGTATTTGAAATCCGGAATTAAAAGAAAACTTCATCGAGTCCGCTTTTTCTTGGAACACCTATCATATCCATAACACCAATGGTGTTTATTAAAAAAAATAAATAAATAACGACAACTGAACATGAAATTACATCTAGACTGATTATTAATCATGCAACATTTGATGCACGATACAAGTCTACTCTTAATCTATTGACCAATTAAATTACCGTGTACTAAATCTTACTCAAGCCAATAAAAATGGATTTAAGAAAATGGTGATGGTTGTTTGAATGCATTATATTCCAATAACGTATTTCGCTTAATAAGCATACCATAAAGAGTTATTACCATCACTAGCCCGTCAGTTATTAAATAATTATACTTACCAATCTGTCAACCTGTCGTCAGTCATCACCAACTGCCCCCACTGATAATAAACTTGTCAAGTGTATGATTGTGAGAATTAGACGAAAAAATAGTGATACCATCGTCTTTCAGTATTTTAGTTTTTACTTATCTTCTTTTTTTATTTGTTTTTGCATGTTTATTTCTTTTTCCTCTTTAGCTGTTGGCTATGACTAGATGATGTAATGATGAAAAGATTGTTAAATGACTATCATAACAACATTGATAAGCCATTGATCAAAAAGCCAAACAAACCAAAAAAATGTTTAAGTATGAAAAAACATTCAAACAACATTTACACACAATCATATCACACATTTTCCAGTATCAACTAATAGAAATAAGAAAGTAGTTTTAGATTCAAACCTGTCTGGGAATTGAAGCGAAAACAAAATGTGTGAACGTCGTTTCAAAATATAACGCCCAACTGCAGTGATTGGTTGACAACTTAAGTTTTGACTTGATTTTTCTTTTCTTTTTCTATTTTCTTTTTGTATGGATCAGGCTAGTAAAGCTCAAGTTTGAGCCAGGTGACGCATCAATCCTAAGCATAATTTATAAGATTAGTGTGAATATATGTGTTTGTATATACATGTTTCAGTTTGTGTCAATGTATATACAAATAAGTACACTCATGTGTGTGTGTGTGTGTGTGTGTGTGTGTGTGTGTGTGTGTGTGTGTGTGTGTGTGTGTGTGCGCGCGCGCACATACACATACAACAAATATATATATATATATATATATATATATATATATATATATATATATATATATATATATATATATATATATATATATATATATATATGCATGTATGTATGTACTCGCGTGCGTGTGTATCAAAAGGTGTGACTTTTCCTGTAAGGATGTAAAACGTGATTTGAATTAACCTTGCGGCATTGTTCTCGTTAACTTCAAGAGGAACAGCGAAGGTGCTTCGAGTGTTCCTTCCCACGCTATTAGAACTATGCCGGCGGAACACAAAAATATTTATAACACTGATTCTAATGTCATCGTTGCTGTAACTGGTATTGTTATTATTCTTAAGACTAATGTTATTGTCATTTTTATTATCATTGTTACTCTTACTATTACTAGCGACTTCACAATTAATACATTTCATTTAAATGGCCACCCATTGTTATCATCCCCACGATAATTATCATTGTTGAGTATGGTCTATATCAATACTATTATTTTTATGATCATTATTATTGACATTATTTTATCATTGTTATTATCATTATTAGTTGTAGTACTATCGTTATTATCACTATTATCATCGTTATCATCACTATCATCATTAGTAGTAACGGCAGTAATATGTGTATTATTATCATTATTATCATTGCTATCATTACTATCATTATTATTATCGTCTTTATTATTGTCATTATTATCATTAATACTATTACTATTGTTGTTACCATTACCACCATTGTTATTACTGTGATTATTACTATTAATGATCTATGATCATTATCATTTTCAACATTATCATCATTATCATGAAGATGATGATCATCATCAGCATCATTATTATCATAACCATCATCATTATCCTTATTAACATAATAATAATGATGATGATACTATCATTTTTGTTATTATCACAATGTCGGTATCATTCCATACCCTTTTCATAATAATGATCGTGCTTTCATAATCACCAACATCATGATTTTTAATCATGTTAACGTTGTTATTCTGATTAGTAGTAGAAGTAATAGTAAGGCCAGCATAAGTATAAATCGTAAGGATGCGGATATGTAGGCAGCTAATGATATGCTGGAGTTAAAAATGCAAAGAAGAGCGATTATCATTTACTGACACAAATAAAAAAATCCAGGACGGTAAATTCTCTGTGTGTATATATGTATATATATGGAGAGAGATACAGATAAAGAAACACATAATAATAAGGACAGATCGATGAATTCAAATGAATTCACAGATAAATTTATTTTTGTGTATGTATATATACATATATATTCACATATATATACATGTAGACTCATATATATATACATACATATTCATATATATGTGTGTCTGTATACATATATATTTATATGTGTGTGTGTTTATTCATTCTGTGTGTATGTACATATATACAAACACATATACATACTTTCATATATATATACACATACATACAAACACATATATAAATATATATGAGCGTATACATATATAAATGCATACGCACACATATGCACATATGTGTTAGTGTCTGTATACACGGATCCTCTCCTTCATGATCGTAATATACAATTCATGTAGTTTTCACAAGCGGTCAGCATGGATTATATTTTTATAATCTCCCGCCATTCTTTTTCTTCAACAGATGATTTACACGTCTCCTTTTAAACCAGTCACTCTAACATGAACACCAACTTCCGCCTTGAACCTCACGAAGAAAATAAAAAGTGAAGAAGACACACACGCACATTGACCTTGTCGTAGTATGCATGTATATAAAGCTGCAGCAGTAGCATTGTCCTCACTAAATCTTCTTCACTTGCTCTAAGAGGATTATTTTCCCACTTCTCGAAATACATGATGAATTTCGTTTTTGTGAGTAAAGCTTATCGTCACTGCGAAAAGAACTAGTGAATGTAGTATATGCATATTCGTTTTAATGAATGTCATAAAGGATGAGTACTTAGATACAGGGAGTAACATACAACTTTTCATGAATTTCAGGTTCAAGAGACGAATCAGTCCTAATACGTTTTCGCTAATTATCATCATATCTAAACAATAATTCTTCAGGTGCTCTTGACGTACCTGATGGCCGCCGTGACAGCCGCCCCTCAGTTCACTCGACCCAACCTTCCGGATCGACCTTTCGTCGCCATCCTAAGGGACGAGCGACAGGATCTGGGCGACGGAGCCTTCAGCTACGTCTTCGAAGCCGCCAACGGAATCAGCGAGTCCCGCGTGGGCTATCCTGGATCCAAGGGCCAGGCCAACATGCAGGGATCCTACAGGTAAGGCGTGTGTGGGTTTCTCTTAGTGAATGTCAAATCTTCTGTTCATCGAAATATTAAAGTCTCTTAGCCATGTTTCCTATTATTTCCAACATTCATTTCCCATAGGTTCCCCCTCGACGACGGCACCTTCGCTGAGGTTCGCTACGTCGCCGACGAGTTCGGATTCCGCGCCGAATCCCCCCTCCTTCCCACCCCCCACCCCCTCCCCGCCCACGCCGTCGAGCAGATTCGCGTCGCCGAGGAGCAGCG